CCACAGGGCTGGCCCCAAAACAGAATTCTTTTTTTTTTTCCTTTCTGTCTTTTTTCGTGACCGGTAACGGGATCACAACCCTCGGTGTCGCACCTGTACCGCGACCGGCAACTGGATCGCAACCCTCGGTGTGGCGCCCGCACCGCACTCAAACAGTGAGCGGACCGGTCTCTATATGGGATCCGAACCCTCGGCGGGAGCGCCACCAGCGCTCTCAAGCGCCGCACTCTACCAAGTGCACCACCGGGCCGGCCCCAAAACAGAATTCTTAATCCCCACTCCCTTACAACCAGTTCTTCTTTGTCTTCCCCATGGCACCAACATCCTCTCAGCTACTCAGGGTCAAAGCCTAAGATTATCCGGACTTTTTCTTTCACTACCAGCCAAAACCACTCCATAAATCACCCAATCTATCAGCAAGCCCTGTTACAGAGACCTCCAAAATACATCCTGAATTTGTCTACTTTTCTCTAACATTGAGTGGTTGAAGCCACTGCCATCTCTTTCCTGTGATAGTCTCCTGACTATGTTTTTTTTTTTCCTTTTTGTCTTTTTCCGTGTCCGGCAACGGATCGCATCCTTCAGTGTTGCCCCCGTACCGGACCGGGACCGGCAACGGGATTGCAACCCTCGGTGTTGCTCCCACGCCTCGCTCAGCCAGTGAGCGGGAACCGGTCTGTATGTGGGATCCGAACCCTTGGCGGGAGCGCCACCACGCTCCCAAGCGGCGCACTATAGCAGTGCGCCACCGGGCCGGCCCCTCTCCTGACTATGTTACTTCCATTCTGGTCTACCTTCAACTGGGTTTCTCCACCAAACAGCCAGAGTGATCTTTTAGCATGTAACATTCCTGCTTGAAATGGCTTCCCATGTTGCTTAGAATTTATATTAGATATAATAGAAGGGCACTTCAAAAAGTTCATGGAAAAATAGAATTAAAAGATAATATGAATCTTTCCATGAACTTTTGGAAGAACTTATGTATTTCTAATTTAATAAAAATCTGGATTTAAGATTTCAGATTATTTTAATTAATTATGAAATATGGGATTCTATCTTGATCTAGGGAAGAATAAGTAGCTATTACCTAATCTTGGAAACTGATAGAGAAATATAGATTTAAATTATATCTTTAAAATTTTAAGATAAAAGATGTTTAAATGGAGAAAATGAAACCATAAAAGTACTAAAAGAAAAATCACAAAAGAAAATTTTAAGTAATCTCAATGTGGGAAATGCTTTTCTATGTGACACA